GGATGGACAACAGAAAAGTGGATGAAGAGAGATGTCGTACAGGGCAAGATATGACAAAATAATAACTTAGATTATCAAGGGTTCATGAGGGAGGGGGTGTGGGGAGGTAGGGGAAAAATGAGGAGCTGATGCCAGGGGCTTAGGTGGAGAGCAAATGTTTTGAGAATGATGAGGACAATGAATGTATCAATGTGCTTCACACAATTGATGTATGTATGGACTGTGATAAGAGTTGTATGAGCCCCTAATAATGTGATAAAAGAAAAGAAAGAGTAAAAGGGAATATTATGTGGTTTAAAATCAGGAAAAATGTTTGCATCTTTTTACCATGCTCATTTGATCTGTATACTGAGCAAATAATCTGAGAAGCAGGACCCTATACAACCTTTTCTTGCTGAAAGACAACTGGATGAATGTGAAGAAAACAAAAATATTCACAATTGGACCAATAGGTGACATCAAGATAAATGGAGAAAACATCGAAGTGGTCAAGGATTTCTTTTTACTTGGACCCACAATCAATGCTCATGCAAACAGTAGTCACGAAATGAAAGAACATATTGCATTGGCACATCAGTTGCAAAGGTTCTCTTTAAAGTAATAAAAAGCAAAGATGTTACCTGTAGACTAGAGTGTATTTGGTCCAAGCCATGGCATATCATCTCTTACAGATGGGAAAGCTTGACAATGTGTAACGTAGACCCTTATGGTGTTGGTGAAGAATACTGAATATCAAATGGGCTGCCAGAGAAACAAACACATTCTGACTATAATAGGTACAGTCAGAATGCTTCTTGGAAGCGCAAACAGTGAGACATTTTCTCACTTCCTTGGGGAATGCTATCAGGAGGAACACATCCTCCCCGGAGGACAGCATAATTGGTAAGGTGGAGGGTGAATGAAGAAGAAGCATGGAACAAAGTAGACTGGCACAGTCTGCGAAGTGGATTCAAAGATAGCATTGGTTGTCAGGGTGGCACAGGGTTGAACAGTGTGTCCTTGTGTGACCTGGGGTCACTCTGAGTCCGAACCTGTTCAATGTCTCCTAACAAAACAATAACCACGATATGTCCCAATACTGAAAATGTAACCTAAGAAAGGCCAGGAATCAGAGAAAGGCGTGAAATCATACCTATTAGGATAGTTAGCTTGGCATAATTTGCAACAGTAAAAATTATTCTGGGGTCTAGTTAAGTAGATCTTGGGGTGGACACTGTGATGCACCACCCACATCCTCTTTCAATAAAGGATTGTTTGCATTTACTGTGCATGCTGTCCACAGAGAGCCCTTGGCTGTTGTCTTGTTCTGGGATGGGCTCTTGACCCAGTGTGCCATAGGTAGTAACTGATTTGTGCGGGTTTTAAAATCCTGGTCATATAAGCCCAGCTTTGGACAACTTAGAAGGGGCATTGTAATTTGGAGCTCCTTGTGAGGGTACCAAGGCTGTTTTTGAGGGTGCACTGTAGCTTGACTTCTCCCTTTTCCCATTATAATATTTTCCCCTTCTCCAACAGTTCCCCTTAATATATGTTGTGCATACAAACTCTACCTCTGAATCTGCTTTTCAGAGAAGTCAACCTGGGACAATATATGTATCCTATGCACCTTCCAAAGCAAGCAAACACAAACACAAGCAAACATCATAAGGGTTGTTCAAATGATATTACAGAAGATGATTTAGTATCATGAGAACATTTCATGATCTATATTAAGTTGAAAAAACTGCTAGAAATAGTAAGACATTCTCCTCCTTTTTTAAAAAATAAAAATAAAATAGGGATTTATCGGTTGATAAGAAGAAAGATACGAGGAACACCTGACAAAGTTATCAGCATTTCTGGGTGGAGCCTTGCCTGGTACCAGCAGCTCGGCACTCAGTTGCTAACTGAAAGGTTGAAGACTTGAGTTCACTCAGAGGTGACTTGGAAGAATGGCCTGGTGATCTACTTTCAGACCAACCATGGGAAACCGTACGGAGAACAGTTCCACACTGGCACACACGAGGTCACCACGCACGAGGCACAGTTGATAGCCTTGAATTCTAGTGCTGGATATATCGGTGATTGTTGACCTCTTTTTTGATATCATCTACATTTTTTTCAGATTTTCCACAATGAACTTACATTACTTTCATAATATAAGATAAATGTCAATATTTAAAATCCACTAAATATGGCCTACCCTCAGCTCCTGAAAAATTGCATATTTTTAGCTGCTCCAGAGTTATCTCATCTGCTGGTCTCCGCTTAGAAGGTTCTTATTGAACCTTACAGTCTCACATCCATGTAATCCGTGCCCACCCAAATAAATAACTCCTATTCAGGTTTAGACATTAGCTTTTAAAAAGCCTTTCACCACGAGCAAACAAACAAACATTTCTAAGATCTCTGTGTTAGACAACCCTATTTTATCTTCTTTTTTCTAACTTTGTGAATAGTAATTAAGTCTCTATCTTTCTTGTTGGAGGTTAAGCTCTATGAAGTCAGAGTCTAAGAACTCAGTTCTTACAGTAATGTCAGCATTTTGTACCACATTAGGAACCTAGTAGGTGCTCAAAGAATCTGGTTGCGTGTGTTTAAGTAATTGCGTACTTAACTAAATGCTCACATAACTCAGACCCACTAGGTGCACTGATGTAAAAAACGATATGGCATAGCAAAGGTGGTGAAGAAAACGGATGGTTCCAAGCCATCAAAAGATATAGTGTCTTGTCTGGGGTCTTAAAGGCTTGAAGTTCAACAAGCAGCCATCTAGAAGAGAAGTAACAAGCCCACATGGAAGAAATATACCTGCCTGTGAGATCATGTGGTTTTGTCGGGACTGGGTACCAGGCATTAGAAGACCCACAACAAACAAGTTATAATCAGGGGGGGTCAGAGCATAGACCCAAAGCCCATCTGTAGACAATGGGACATCCTCTCACAGAGGGGTCACAGGGAAGGGATGAGTCAATCAGGTGCGGTAAAGCACCAATAAAACACACAATATTCCTTGAGGCTTCCTCACCCTCCACTATCATGACCCCAGTACTGCCTTTCACTGTGGGTTAGACCGGAGCATGTGCACAGGTACAGATAAGATCTAAGAGCTCTGGACACACGAAAGCCAGGAACAGGAATGGGAATAATGATACCAGAAGTGTAGGGGGAAGATGGGAAGAGGAGGAAAAGAAGGGGGAAACGAGCATAATGATTGACACATAATCTCCACCACCCACCTCCAGGGGGATGGAGAACAGAAACTATGAGGGAAGGGAGACAGCGGTCAGTGTAAGATATGCAAATATTAATAATTTATCAAGGGGTTGTGGCGGGCAGGGGAGAAAAAAGAGGAGTTGATACCAAGGGTTCAATAGAAAGTAAATGTCTAGAAAAGAATGATATGTACAAATATGCCTGATACAGTTGATGTATGGATTGTTATAAGAGTTGTAAAAGCCCCCAATAAAATGATCTTTTAATTAAAAACAAAACAAAAAATGATATGGCAGTCTGCTTCTGTAAAGATTACAGCCATGGAAACCCACTGGGGCAGATCTACTCTGTCCTTTATAAGTTGCAGTAGGTGTTCAGTAAAATTTGCTAGAAAAATACAGGTGAGACTATGGTTAATTCAGTATACAGAGTCAAGTCAATGCAGACTTTGAATTTTATTGTTGTTGACTCTACCCTAATAATTACATAATGCTCCAGTTTACTTTTTCTGTCAAAATAGCTACTCAATGGCAGTGTCCCATTCAGGTGTTTCAGCCTTAGGAATTCTGAAACTCCAGCAGTGTGGGGGTGCTGGGTACACCCAGTAGGTGTGGCTCAGGAGATAGACTATGTCTGCAGTGAGAGAGATTCACTTCACTCATGAATCTAGGAGAATTTGTGTGGGATTTTCTCAGGGCCGGAAGGGTGGCTCTGATCTGTCCCAATCTGGTAATTATCTAAAACAAGCCATCAAAGACAATGATTAAAGTGGCTGAAAGAAGCTTGATATAGGTCAGAATATGTATTTGGAATATTCATATGGCTCACCAGAGTCATAAAACGCCTACAAGGAAGCTTCTGTAAAAAGGGCCCATATAATGGCGGTTAAACTTTTCACTTTGTGTGAGGTCTATGAGCATGAATAAAACACACATCCATCTTACTCATCGTGAGGAAGATTCACCTCCTACTTATCGGGGAGGGTTTATAGGGCAATGGTTACAATTATGGACTTTGTGTTCAGGCAGGTCTGTATTTAAATTGTAGCTCTACCACACACCAGTAGCATGGCCTAGTTTAAGTTGCTTAACCTCTTTAATTCTCAAGCTCTTGATTTGAAAAATGAAGATAATCATATTTACTGGATAAGGCAGTGTGCACGAAATCCCATGTACCAATGTATGGCGTTCATCATTAAACTCTAGAATCTGAAAGTAAGTCCCTTTCCCCAAATCTCTGAGAGACCTAAAGAGATGGCATATTAATCATGCAATCATGAGCATCTCTCACCGGAAGACTCTAGCACTTACTCCTGGCCCCTTTATTGCTACTCCAAAGAGAGCTACCAGTCCAGAGGAGGGTGAAATGAGTCCATTGTCATGGTGTAGGACGAAAGCAGACTGCAAGAAGTGAAGACTGCCATCTCAGCCATAATGGAGAAGGGAGAAAAAGGATAAAACCACAAACTTAATGAACACAATCATCACAGTCTGGCCTTCACCCAACAGATCTCCATGGGTTCTCTGTTGATAGCATGAAATGAAGAATTTAAGGAACAGTTAGGTTATGTTTGAGATGCAAAGGAATTAAATTGTATACCTACTGAATTCGTGAAAGAACTGAGGTCCACAGACACCCAGTTTAGCATCCTTTTCAGTATATATAATATGCTATTTTTTCACAATACTAACATAAATCACCAGAGTTGATAAACATAATATATAATGCAGATAACACAGAAAGGTACATATTAGCATGTGAAGGCATTTACTTTCCCCAAAACATTGTGGAAAATCTCAACTTACGATGTTCATGAATGCTTCCGGGTCCACAGCTTTAGTTGGCATTTGTCCTGAGTTCACATTTCTTTGTAGCAAATGAGCCACCAGGATTAGAAGCCACATCTCCATTCTGTGTGAAATAATCCATCCTCTTGAAAATATTTCTGACATGGTCCAACATCTGCACCTATTTTTCCCCTGGCAATATAATCACTAACTCTAAAGTGAGAAGAAGGATCAAAAAAACCCTTCATGCATTTTCCACCTGCAATTCTTTTTGAAATTAGGAAGCAATTTAAGCAGTCTCAGTTGACAGGAACAGGAGAACACCGAGTAGTCTGGACACATTGCATGGAGTGTCCCAATACAGCTGGCTCCTCCTGCTCCTCCTTCGTAACAGGAAGTCACCAACCCTTTAGCTTCTAGGTGTGTAGATGTTTTCCTTGAGATCCAGAGCTATACCCATGTAATACAGTCCATGACTGTTTGTTCCACAGCACCAAATGGTTGGAAACATAGGTTGAAGCCTTTAGTTGTTATATATTTTTTCTTTTGATAGGTACCAAGATAAGGAGTTTATAGAAAAGATAACAAGTTTCTGTAGTCACATTCTGAGGCCTCTGTGGTAACTGCCTTTAAAGAGAAGATCAGTATTCTGGCAAGTACTTTTTATTTGAATAAATAGCAGTTTTAACTACACTTCTTATTTTTTAATGGGCCCTAGCAGCATAGTGGGTTATGGATTGGGTTGCTAACTACAAGCTCAGTAGTTCAAGCCCAGGAGCTGCACAGTAGGAGAAAGATGGAGTTGCTCATTCCAGTAAATATTTATATTCTCAGAAATCCTATGTAGGATCACAAGGAGTTGGAATCAACTTGATGGCCATGGATTGCTTTTATTTTTTGTGATGCATGAGCATATCCATTAGAAGAAAATTAATCTTCTATGACTAAGACCATTTCTCTCTAGTTCAACAGTTCAACTAAATATATTGAGCAAAATATGTATATTTGCTCTTACTTTTTTAAGTTTATTTTTTATTTTAATCATACCTGACAGTATTTTCTTCTGTTGTGCATGTGATCACTAAGAATTTGAACTGACTGGGCAACATCTAAAAGCCACCACCACCACCACCACCACCAGTTCATTGCTGAGAAATTGATTTGATGGCTATCTGAAGATGGAATTGTCTTTAGCTCTAAAATAACAAGTTATTGCCAAGTTATTTTCATGAACTGATCATTACAATTCAATTGGCTGTGTGGAGATGTGAGAAATTTCTTGGAAATAAAGCCAGGGGGAGGGGAGTAGACTTATGGCCATTTTAAGTAAGAGTGTGCTAGAATTTATATAGAAAAACTATATATGAAAATTTACATTAAAAAGCTATAATTAAAAATCCAATATGTTTCTATATAGTAACTCCTCATAGCTAATCTAAAAACTGTCATGTGAGTTTGTAGGCTTGGATGGTGTTCTGAGAATAATTAAAGCTGAAACGGGAATGGTGAGCTTTGTGAGAAAGTACCTGCCCACAAGACTCAGCCTCACCCTCCCAGGGCTGGCTGGATTGGTGTGATGAGGTAACCCTGAGATTCTTATCAGGACTAATTGCAATGTTCCCAGCATTGTAGTTTGAGGCATGCCTAAGAAGACTGATTTTGACCTAGTTAGAAACACCAGACAGAGACCTCTGCCTTCATTTCCCAAAGAGCTCACTCTGCAGTTAGGCAAAAAGAATAAAGGGGAAAAAAAATCTATCTATATAAATATATACTGTGGGTTCCACTGTTAGCTGATATTTGAGGATTTTTAAGTGCTAGGGTCAAAGTCAAATGCATTTCATTCAGCACTTTAATTTTTGTTAGTGTGAAGTTGTGTTAAAGGACTTACCCAGCATTACCTAACTAGATGTTTAGTTCTAGACAAAGTTAGAACTAAAATTTAGATATTCATTCACTGCTTGATATTATCATTACATGGTGCAACAAATGAACATTCCAATGAACTCATCCCCATTCATGGTTGAAACTACTATCAGAAAACAGGGATGTCAGTTTCTGTGAATTATTTTTTTAAAAAGTACTCTCCTGGATTTAAAATTCAGAATAATTCTCAATGATTTTATAAATATTTGGGGACTATAATCTACTTGCAATTGCTTTAATATGCTCAAATAAGATCTCAATTTCCACATTGGATTCATATATATATGAGTATTATACCAACTTATTATTGACACAATTGATGGTGATAAACTGATTCACTTAAAGATCTTTTGTTAAGTCATATCATTGTGTGCTCACCTCCCTGATACGATCCCTAAAGACAAAGGGGTACATAAGCAAATGTGGTGAAGAAAGCTGATGGTACCCGGCTATCAAAAGATAGAGCTCCTGGGGTCTTAAAGGCTTGAAGGTAAACAAGTGGTCATCTAGCTCAGAAGCAACAAAGCCCACAGAGAAGAAGCACACCAGCCTGTGCGATCATGAGGTGTCAAAGGGATCAAGTTTCAGGCATCATCAGAACAAAAAAGTCATATCATTGTGAAT